TTAGTGGTCTCATTTATATATTTTTTTGGGATTCGCCACTTTCTGTTATAATAAAGGGCGTGGTTTTTTTTTTCGAATTTATGAAGTGTATGTTCAACCGACATGAGAGGCCGACCAATAGTCTTACTTTTAATCAGTCCTTATATGTAGATATTGAAAAAATTATATAAATATATGGTGACAATTATAAAATAATTATACTATAAATTAAAATAAAAATTTTGGTGAATTTTGATTTGAACCCGACTCGTTTCTCTTATCGAATTTTTTATTGAACTCAAATTCTACTCAGATAATTAACTGGACTGAACTCGGCTGACTTGTTAATATTAATAACGAGTCACTCCGGTCGGACTCGGCTCGACTATATAGATATTTTTTAATATTATTTATATATTTAATATATAAATAATATATTATTATATAATTTAAATAAAGATAAACGAAATCGAATTTGATGAGCCAGCTTATTTGAGTTCAAGCTCGCTTGTTACTAAAACGAAGCCTAATATTTGAACTTGAACTTGTTCATTTATTAAACAAAGCTGAGTCGAGCCGAGCTGACTCTAGTTCGTGAACAGTTCGGCTTCATTTGCTGCCTTAGCTTTGACAAACAAGAAGAATTACACCAAACCACATAAATGAATTTTGCACTACTCCACCTTTGAAAATGCTAATTTTTTTACTTTCATGGGCATTGCCAAGTTCAGAAGTACTAACTCACATTTTCAAACCCAATAATGTGATAAACAATTAAATCTTTAAAAGTAATTTTTTCTCTCATATATTATCCCAATCATTAGTCAATCAATTTTTTTACATATTATTAATTTTTTAATATTTATTAATGAAAATTTAAATTAATCTGATAATCATAATAATATTAATTTTATCAATGGGCTAAATTACACTGACACCCCCGGATTTTATCGTTTATTTACAGTTCCTCCCCTCGCCTTTTGGGAAATTACATCTCCCCCTGAAGTTTAAAAGTTTCGTTACAGATTCCCCTCAGCCCTTTCAATTTTTTTAAAATACAATTTTACCCTATTGGGTAAGTACATTGACACTCTCTCACATTTTAAGAAATTACAAATCCCCTCCTAAGGTTTAAAGTAGCATTACAATTGTCCCATCATTAGTATTAGTTGGAGAAAAAAATTCACTAAAAAAAATTAATTAAAAAAAAATTGTTAGTAAAATTTTTAAATTTTTGTTAAAAACCAACAAACTCATTTTTGTGATTTAACGGTTTTCTCCTCAAATTTACAAACTGAGACAATATTTATAAACCAAAAAATTATCAAACAAGTTTTTATGACAGTTTTAAAAATTTTGTAAATATAAATTGAAAAACTAAAACGAAATGATTACCAAAAGGTCTCAGATAGTAAAAATGTCGTAAAATTAACAAATAATTAAATAAGTACCACGTAAGAAATGACTTATCAAAAGATTTTTAGGCTATGTATGGTTTGATTTTTAGAATTTTTAAAAAAATTAATTGGTTTTAAGAAATAAGAAATATAAAAATATTTTTTAAATGAAATTATTTTTTTTTTTTATTTCTTAATAAATTAATTTTTAATTTTAAAATTTCCTAAAAATCAAACCATACATACCTAAGATCTTTTTGAAAAGTCATTTCTTATGTTGGTAATTATTTAATTATTTTTAATTTGTACGACATTTTTACCATTAAACCTGTTTGGTAACATTTCGTTTCAGTTTTTTCAAGTTATATTACAAAATTTATAAAAACTTAAAAACTTTTTGATATTTTTTTTAGTTTTAAATATTTTCGTTAGTTTGTAAAATTTGAGGAAAAAACAGTAGTAATTCAATAAATGAGTTTACATTGGTTTTTAAACAAAAATTTAAAAAATTTTACTAACAATTTTTTTTCAATTAATTTTTTTTTCAATTGAATTTTTTTTCAATGAATTTTTTTTCCAACTAATACTAACCAAGGGGAATTGGTAATATTACTTTAAACCTTAGGGAGAGGAATTGTAATTTCTAAAATGTGAGGGTGTCAATGTAATTTACCCAATGAGGGTAAAATTGGTATTTTAAAAAAAATTAAAAGGACTGAGGGAGGAATTTTAATGAAACTTTAAACCTTCAGGGGAAGATGTAATTTTTAAAAAGGTGAGGAAACAATTGTAATATAAATCTTAAGGGGTGTCAGTGTAATTTACCTTATCATATTTATATTTTTTTTACATAGAATTGAAAATTTTATTTTTAAAATAATATTTTTATTTTTTTAAACAAATATAATTTATTTTTTAATAAACTTGTTTGGATAATGGAATGCATGAGTTGATGTGATAAGAGTTGTGAGTGGATGATGGAGAGCAATGAGTGAAGAACGTAGACCCTAGTAAGAAGGCACCGTGGTCTTTGGACCTTTATGGTTTTTTCGCATTTCAAAATCAAATCATAAGAAATCTGAATTAAATAATTTTTGCCACTTTCCTTATCTATTTTTACTTTATGGTTTTTTTTTTTTATTTAATTTTTTTAGAAAAAAAGGGGGTTAGGAGCTTGAGCTATGATGAATATTGTGTTTGTTTGTTGAGAGAGAGTTGAGAGAGGGGAGATTTGATAGTGAGCTCCGGATTAGAATGGCCCCCAGAGGGATTCGGACTGGGCCTCCAGGACTTGTATTAGAAAAAATAGTCCGGCGGAACTAGAAATTTTTTTTTTTTATTTTTTATTTTTTATTTTTTACATGTTGGGATTTTTTTTTAACATTAATATTTAATTTTTTATATTTTTTGTTAAGTAAAAATCATTATTTTATTTGTTTTATTTTTTTTTGAATTTTTTTTATTTTATTTTAATTTTTTTAAATTTTTTTACATGTTGGGCATTTTTTAAAAAACATTAATGTTTAATGTTTTTTTATTTTTTTATTTGTTTTATTATTTTATATTTATTTTATATAAAAATAATTTAACAATCCCTACACTAACAACTATCATCAAAACAAACACAATTTTATTTAATGCCTTCACTATCAATCCCTTCACTATTAATTCTCTCATTATCAATCCCGTTCATTCTACCTCTAAAAATAGACGGGCCAAATTGGAGAACAGTGAACTTCGAAATTGCACTTTGTGCTAAGATATTTATGTAAATGTTCATATTTATGTGATTGAAAGTTGGGACCATAGAAAACGAAGACAAAGCCTTGTTTGGTTCTCTTCAATTATCATCCATCCCAGTATTACCTGCCTCAGTTGGCAGTTGTCACCTTACACCTATGTGTTTTCTTGTCTTATTTCATATAAAATTTTACTTGGTTGTTGGTTGTTTAGGTTGAAATTTCAACCAGAAAAATGATTTGTGAACAAAAGTTTATATATTAAATTTAGAATAATATGTAAATGACATTTAAAATTATAGGAATAAATTGAAAATACAAGGACCATAAGAAATTGTGGCTCAATCATTAAGTTATTTAGCTCGTCACCTAACTGTTATCAAAATAATCTCAAAAAAATCTTATTATTGAAAATTTCAATTTCTCTATGACCCAATAAGACGAGACCTAATTTTTATGTTTAACTTGAGGTCTCAAAAAATCTCAAACTATTGTTGCATTCTGAATTAAAATCCTATTCAAATTATTTATTTATATGTCACTACTCTTAAAATAAAATTTCATAAATTTTTTAAGGGAGATTGAGTAGAAATATAAATTAATGCCAATAGTGTGCAATGTGTGGGTGGAATCTAACTAGATAAAGAAGAGAGTGAGGCGGTCATTATCCTGGCAGTGAAAATTCAAAACAAACGTCACTGTTACCTTTTTCTCTCCCTTTTACTCTCTCGTATTTCTCGGATTTTCAAGAAGAGTGATTCGACTTTGTATCTTATATAATGGGTATATTATGATTTTGTATCTTTGTGTAACGAATAAATTACAACAATAGTATATCTTTTTGTTTTACAAAAATGTGACCTCTATATGTTTGTGAGAGAGCAGTATACCACGCGTCATAGAAAAATTTCATACACAAAAACAGTAACAAGAAAAATCAATCACAAAAGAAAAAATAAGATATAAATTTATGTGGTTTAACAAAATTATTTACATACACAGCTCACATCACCACCGGGAATGGTGGCCTAATAGAGAAGGCATCTCTCTTTATAGGCGTGAGCCAAGTTCGATTTTTAAGAGAAGCAAATTCCATTACTTTGCAGTTGGCTTTCTTTGGAGAGTTTGCTTGTACTCCTCTTGAAACCTGAGCTCGTCTACGACGTGTGGTTGAGCTCTATTGGTGCCTCGGTAGTGGGTTCCTTCTTTTGGATTGGATTAATCGACTACCCTTTGAACTCATGGATGCAGTGATGATATTTCATAACATCATTTTTTTTTCTTGTTCAAAAAAGAAAAAAAAAAAAATACACACTTACAATGTAACTATCTTCTGTTTATCAAGACAATAATATATATGTTAAAATTTAGATTGAGAAATTATTTTAATACCCTTAATGCAATTCGCCACGTGGGTGTACATATAACACAAAATACCACATCCCATCCAAGAATGATTGAATTATACCAATGATCAAGCCCGGTCCTGAGGACAGGCAAGAGAGGCCTGCGCATTGGTCCCTTAAATTTGAGCTGAAAGTATGAATCTTAAATATAATTTCGTGTTTTAGATATTAAAAAAAAGGTCAGATGTTGCTAAATTATAAAGCAATAAGACTTGATTTTTATGTTTTTTTGAATATTTGTAATGATTGCTTTCTATCTTAATGTATGAAAGTAAATTTTTGTTTATAATTTTAATAATTATATATGCAAGTAAATTTTTTTATGACTACAAACAAATAAAAAAATTATTATAACTTATCGTTTTATCCATAAACTCTTTTTTCTTTTCAATATAAGAAGGGTTCATTTTCGAAATTCACCTTGCACCCTTAAACCTAAGGGTCAGCCCTGTCATTGATTACAAAACGCTGAGATTTTACGGACTAGAAGTAAAAATCCCATATGGATTAAAATACCCTGTTTAACATCAATCCATAATTACATAATTTATAGCACAACTAGTGCTAAAAATGGCAAACTGTGTGGTATTATATTTCAAGTACTTCCCTTTGAGAATTGGACTTGTAAGTTCTTTGTTCAATTTCTATAATATGTTTGCCCAGTGACGAGATACTCTCTTATCTAATGTAATGTCTGAAATCAAGCACAACTTTCTCTTCGCACCAATTTTTTTTTTTTTAAATAAAAAAACCCAAGTTTTAAAAACCAACTAATATGAATTTAGGATTGGCTTTTATATTTTGTCAACTAACCAATCTCCACTAAATTTCGGAAAATATTTACATCTCTGAGTGAAGCATCCTAGAGACACTCCATTGATGTATAGGTTGACCAAAAACATCATAGAACACCATTTTCGCCTCGGTACTCTTTAGCTGCATCGACATGAAGCCTTGGCCATCGTAAAAGAAATGTACTGCGCATTTGTCGTGCTTTTTGTCATCGCCCCTCCATGCCTTTGAGCCCGCTCCACTTGTCAAAAATTGGATCCGACTACATTTCATTAGATGGTTTCATTAGCAAAATCAATGAGCTAGATGATTTCATTAACAAGAGACTTTATGAAATTTTATTGAAGGGCATGATCAAATTACTTGTCAGGGCAGCTAATACGTTGTAGGCAATGGTCGTGCCCGTTCACGTAAAAATCGACACCATTCATCTGAAAATTTTCAATTGAGGTTTAACATTATATCAAACATGTCCAATGAAATCATATGTTAATTCACAGATATATTTATTCACATATTTACATACCTATTTGTTGTTGTGTTATTTCTGAGAGTGCTAGTGTGTCCAAGTTCGAAAGGTTTGCTTTCAAATTAAAGACAAAGTGGTGAAGTCAAATCCTCTGTTCCTATCTCCCTGTTCCCCGGTCTCATATTACCTCTGCCACATGATCAAGCCTAGAGAGACTCATTGTGTATCAGAGAGAGAGAGAGTTTAGGACAAAGGGACAAGGAAGAATGGAGACAGTGGCCGTGCAAAATCTATATAATTTTATTTTGGACTTCCTAAACTTCACAAAAACCATATTACCTATGCAATTTTGATTACTTATAAAAGAAATTAACATTTTGATCCTAAAAAATCTATATAAATTGTACTTTGGCTCTCAAAAATTTAAAAATTTTATCCGTACAATTTTTAAGTCTTGCACTAAATGAGGTCAAAGAATCCCTTGTGGGAACGAGGAAACAAACATTCATTGAGTTTGTAGTGAAAAAAGTAGTTCTTTGTTTGGAAGATCATATTTTCCCATCCTTAATGGAAAGTATTGTTTCTTGACTTTAAAAAACAGATTACCTCAAGAACAGGGAGGAGTTGGTCAATGAGTTCTTGAGTATCACCATGATGACTTATGCTTCTGATTGCATGGTGACCAACCACAATCTTCCACTCAGCAGTTGAATTTCTCAATGCCGAATCCAAATCCTTATTACAAGATCAACATTAGTCTAATTAGCTGCATTATAGTCATTAGTGTGTGCTTCTACATACAATGTCAAACCCCTCAAGGTAAGGACCATTATTTGGCCCAAAGGCCCATGGTCTGACTGAGGCTTGCTCGCCCCAAGCCCGTTTCTCAAGCAGGCTAGCCCATCGCCAATAGAATTTGGTCTAGGCTTGAGCCTAGGTATTGAAACTAGACCAGTTAATCCGTGAGAGGTGGCCAGCCCGGCCCACGAGCAAGCAAGAAAATAATTTTTTTTAAATAATAAAAAGAAGTGATAAAAAGAAAGCAAATAAGCTCAAAAATAGGCTTGAATTTCAATTATTTGGGCTTAGCCCGCGGGCCCACCTGTTAGAATGTCTAGGTCAAGCCCATTGGGAACCTAAGATATTTGGGGCTGGGCAAGCCTAACTTGTTAAGGGAAAGCCCACGAGTGGGCTTGGGCACTATTTTCATGGGTTGGCCTAGCCCAGCCTACTGCCGAATTGTTACTTCAAGGGAAGGGAAAATGACTTGGACCCCACAAGGTGGCATCCCCACGACCCCCTCTCTCTCTCATTGGCTAGATTTTTTTTTTTTTTTTTCTTCTCCTCCAACCACCAGCCCCCACGTGTGTGTGGGGGTGGTGATTGGAGGGGTCTCAATCACTTCCCGATACTTTAGATACCTTTAGAAGATTATTAAGGTAAATCTCTCGAGGATATATGCCTCGCCAATCATAAACACGCTCTTCTGGATCAGTGAAGTAGACGTCAACAAAAGGAGTGGTGTCCATGAAGAAGAAATCCGCACTTCCTAGTGAAAAAATAAAACAAGAAGAATAAGCAATTCATTCATAGATTGACAAAAGATTGAGACTTATTAACAAGAGGAAAGTAGTTAATGAGAGCTAACTAATCCAAACCTGTATTAAGAGTAAATGATCTCAAGCAAATCCATCTACTATCAATCTTCCTAAGCATTGGGTTCAATTGTGCCTTCGCGTCGCCTCTATAGTCATGATTGCCTAAAACTGCCCCAAAAAAAAAAAAAAAACAAAAACAAAAACAAATTATCAGTAGAAATAAATTTTCATATTAAGTTTAATTTATGCTTTATCAAATAATATCAAATTATCAAAATAAGTAAAGTATTTCTGTGATGATTTATGATTCAATATTTGAAGTGAACTTAACTCGAAAAAAGCCTTAATCTTCAAAAGGTTTTACTATAATAAGTTTCACATTGAATTGTAGTGCCCAAGATACACAAAACTATAAGGTATTATCTAAAATCTTAAATTTCAATCTTGCAACACTGCTTCTTCTAACATATTTTGTGTTTTTCTAGCTATCTTTGCCTAAAACCATGGTTTTCTTTTCGTGTTAACTTTCTTTTATGTTAATTGAATTGAGTGATCTGAGAAACAAATTTCAAACCAAATCAACAACACTCATTTAACTTCAAAATTCGTGAAAAATTGTTGAGCATATGTGGGGAAATTAGGGACATATCTGAGGTTTTGAATATCTATTTTTCAAACAATTCAGGACTTGGCTGACTACTGATACAATATTTTCCCATTACTTTTCAATATATCGCCCTTTACATCCAATTTTTAGAAGTATTTTTATACTTGGAATATTTTATTCATTCATTATTTTCATTTTTGCGTTACTTTCCAACATATTACCAATTTTCTAATATCTCAGCAGTATATTCTCAGTCAATATTTTGAAATATTTAAATTACAGTGGTATCTTAGGTTGGCGCCATACTTCAGAATGCAAACTTTCTGGGGTGGGGGGAAAGTAAAATCATCAATAGAAAAAAATAATGTGTGGAACTTACTGCTATACCATGGCTTCTGCAAGCTCTTCTGGGAATAAATTTTTGTAAATGACTCTTGAAATGCCGGGTCATTCACACCCTTCAATCCATTGTCATAAAAATTGTCTCCGGTAGATATCACAAAGTCTATGTCTAGTTTCTCTCCAATCCTTCCCATCTGTGATGAAAGTATTGAAATGTTATACAGAGTATTTTTAAAGGGTAATCGATAATTGCTGCTACATGTTAGCAGCATAATCACAATGGCAGAGAAAAGATATCAAGAAAATGCCCTCAATTTACTTTTCCAACAAAATTAGTGAGTCAATGATATAATAAGAACAAATGTTGCTGTATTTTTCATTAAGATCATAACGGCATTCGATTCAAGTTGTAAAAGTAAAACAATGTGAATGGCGAAATCCATAAATTCTTTAATCTTGGCAAAAAAAAAAAAAAAAAAAAACCGACTTTCACCAAGCGACTTAGAAATAACACATTGACTTGATGATTTTGAGAAAAGAGTACATTGTCATATTGATATAATGATATGTACTCTCACCAAAAAAATTTGAGAACGATAGGGAAAAGAAAAGAAAGAAGGAAAAAAGAATGTTCATTTAGAACAAATGTTCATTAACACCCTTAAACATATCAGCCGTGCTACTGACCCCCAGCTGGGGCATCCCCAGTGACCCCCAGTGGCAAGTGGCACACTGCCAGTGGCTGGAATCCAAAAAAAAAAAAAAAAAGTTTCAGCCAATCAGGGGCGACCCCTAGTGACCCCCACTGGGGGTGTTAGGCATTTTTCTAAACATATTATTTCTGCTAAATCCAAAAACCCTAGTAGACCTCAATTCTCTCTCTTCTACTTTTTCTTTTTCTTATTTTCCTTTTCTGTTTTTTTCTCTCACTATGCTGTGGCTACAATCAAAACCAAAACCAGAAAGGATACAGAATATTTTGTGTTTGTGAACACATTGTGATCAATCTTCACATAATCATTTCATTAGGATTTACACATGCCACCAAATCAAAACCCTTTTCATTTCTCACACTTCCAATTTTACTTTTCAATCTTCTATTTATTTTCCATACTCATTTCTTTTTTTTGGCATTCGATAAGATATCAGTTGGTTAATAAGTTAGGTTAAGACAATAGAAATTCGGTGTTTTTCTATAAAATGGATCCCCAAATAGCCATTAGAAATGAAAAGGAGAGGTTTAGAAACCTGAAAAGCAATCTCAGACTGATTGTAAAGCCCTCCTCTGCCCCAATCTCCAATCACCAAAAAACTAAGTGACTCATCACTTTTTCCATGGTGTTCAAGCCTTTGAAGCTCTGCAACACTTGGTACCCAATTAAGCCAAAAAACAAGGGTCAATATTGTAAGACAAATGAATAGAGTTTTTTGTTTTTGAAAACAAGCCATGGCCAACATGGGTTTCCTTTACAAGGAAAAAGTAGAAAGTATATAGCAAGCAAAAAGGGGGAGAGATTTGTGAGATGGAGATAAATTTCTCTTAATTTTATAGTAATCAATGAGAAACCAACAAATTGATTGCCTCAAATGAGTTTTTTTTCCAATTGGGGTACTCCTAAATTTGGGGTATTCCCAATTGAAGTTCCTTAGAGAGACAGACCTTGTTTCAAGGACATTATGGCTGCCAAAAACGCAATGGTGGATAACCCTTTGCTTTCAAAAAATTTTAAAAAAATAAAAATAATTCTGCTACAAATATTGAAAATGATCATATACAAAATACATAGGAATAGATAAAATTTTATGAGATTTGTTAGTAGGATTCATTTTTAAAAAATCTTATCCTTGTATTGTAATCTCAATTTTGTTGCCATGAACTCTAAATTTGGCAAATCTACTTTCAAAATATCCTAATCAATAATCTGAGAAACTAATTGGACTAGCTTGACCTTGAGCCTCACAAAGTAAATTGACGGAAATTTAGATATTAGTTTCCTTTATTCATTTATTTTTTTTGATGTCTGGCTAACAAATGGTTCTAGGGGGCACAAGAAGAGAACACAAAATAAAAAAGAACACGAGACAATTTTTATTGAATTTAAAAGAAAATTTTAAATGAATTCAATACATAATTCATTGAAATCAAAATAATTTTTTAACCATTTTATCTATTTTCAAGACACTTGTCATTCAAATTCTGATACTAAACAATGCCTTGGGGCACTCGTTAGCATTTTTCTATTTGGTAAATATGAGGGGTACAACCTTCCCGTCTTTTGTTTGGTCAATGGATAAGAGCTTGCTCATTAGACATGATATTTAGATTCGAGTCTCGTTGTTACGCGATACATATTCCCATTTTCCTACGTAGTTCGAACTTTCCTCCTATCGATTATAAAAAATAATATTATAGAAATGCTAGAAGCAAAGAAACTAATTGTAGAAAAATAAATAAAAGAAAAAAAGTGTAGTTCATATTCATTTTAAGTGTAGGATCACTATTTACTAAATTTGTTGAAGAGATAAAATATAAGCAAGGTATATTTTTTTTGGTCAAAGGTTGAATCCATCATAAGAAGAAGAAAAAGTAAACTTCCATAGGAAAGAAGCAAATGAAAGGTTTTCATAAAAATTCGCTAATCGGGAATCAATATCAACCACAAATTTTTATACTTTTTTAATATTTTTTTCTGTGATTGGTTTCTTGGTCTCTAGCATCGTTAAAAAAAAGGAATTACACCAATAATTCTTATAATTTGAAACTTGTGTCACTTTAGTTATTGATTTTTTTAATTGTGATAGATTTGACATTAAATTTTGAATTTTGTTCTAATTAAGGACAAATAAAGATATTTCATTTGCAAACGGTCTATTTTATAGGTAAAGTTATCATACAATTTATTTTGTGTTAGTTAACTTATATATTGTTTGAAATGTAATGGTCTTTTTCTTAATGAATAATGTTAAAATTTTATTGATTATAAAGTTCTGTTTTGTTTGGTTTGGTTTTCATAATGTATTTTCAATTTTTTTTTTCTAATAAACTAAAAATTAAATCAGTGGAAAAAAAAAATTAAAAATACCATTTTTTTTATAATTTTATCCTTTGGAAGAGTACAAATAATTTTTTAAAATATTTTTTTATATTTATTTTCGTTAAATTAATTTCTATTTTTTTAAAAGTCAAACATAGTAACAATTTTGATATTATTATTAAATCAATCTATTAAATCAAAAAATCCAAAACTAAAAATATTTCATATTAAACATATCAATTATACATTAAAAGTCTAATAATCATCCATTACATGATAATCATCCAAAAATATCTGTTAACAACAAATACAACCATCTATTATATAACTAGCGGTAACCCGTGCGATGCACGAAAAAATAAACTATATATATTTTGTGTGATATATAAATTATTCTAATCTTGAATTATATTTTAATAGCAGCAAGCCATGATGTTAGGCCATCTTGATTGATGTTAATAATAATTAATCTACAAAATTTCACAATAAAAATTTGATATACATAAAAGATTGTTAATTATAAAGATTGTTAGGATAATAGTATTACAATCACTTGCTAACATAAATAATTTGTATCAGACTATAGTGTCATGCAAAAAAAAAAAAAAAAGTGAGCCAAAGCCTAATAAAGATATCTTCACAAGACACAAATCAATTCACTTTGTTGATCAACTAGTTCACTTGGACCTAAGGAATTAAAAGTGGCCGACTCGTACCAAAATTTGACCCTATAGTTTGGTTACATACTGATATACTGCTATGAATGAAAATAGGTCTAGATCTCCAGCATGTAAAGCTAATGAAGCCAGCACTAATTTCACTCTATTGTTTACTGCTAGCAGTGAATCATTATTATTATGACAGATACAAATAAATAAATAAAGCTTGCTTGTGGCGCTAACCAAAATTAGATTAAAAAGTCAAGAATTACAATAAATAATTATGAATTTATAATTTATTGTGAACTAAAATATAATTAAATTAAAAGTAAATCAAAAGGTTAAGAAAACCAATAAATAATTAAAGACTTATGATTAATTGTAATTTAATTGATATAATGTTACGAATTATAAATTATGCGTACGAGAGAAGAAAAATAAATAAAATAATAAAAAAGGCATAGGGCTTGAGAATATTATAGTCATTTCACATCAGTAGTTAACAAAGTTAACGGTTGCACTTTTGTTCAAAATCTCATGGGAACTTTCTGGTTAAATTTGAACCATAGAGTGTAGAGTGCTTTGGCTACAAACCACAAAAAGATAAAATGAATTTTGCCATAAACTATATGCATACTCCCACAACCTTAGAAACTTCTACATACCCTAACTCCCCTGCCCCCGCACCATAGTTTCAGAAAAATCTGATATCCTACAAAGTCTACCAGCGTGAATCCTTAGAACTTGTGGAATATGAGACTGTTTCTGTGATCAGGGAATGACCACATGTTACTTGCACGAGCTTTATTTTGAATGTTGTGGATGGCCCACACTTAAACTGGCAATTCGAGAAAGGTTTCATTTCAAGTTCTGAATTGGATGTTGAGTCCGAGTCTAATTCTATCGAGTCTGTGGAGTTAGAGTCAGACTTAAGTTAGTCTAGTCAGCTAGAATCTGTTAATTTCAGGAGTGCAAACCTAGATATCTCTGTCCTATTTAGGTCTTCTTTATTGTCATCACTGAGTCGGAGTTTCTTTTTATGAAAGTGTCATAGATTCTACCTACTTCTCTGTGTCTTTAGTTCATTGCATTGACCAAACTTTTTTAAATAATAATAATTCAAAACTTCAATACTTATTACAAACTATATATGGCACAATCCATTAACTCCGATACACTAGATCAAAGGTTCACCTAGTAGAAGAGGCGCTCATTGACTGACAGTGAGTCCAAATTTTACAGCTATGAGAAATAACTTCTCCTATCAAAGGGCCTCTATGTATATAATATTGGAGTTTTTTTTTAATCAATCTCAATTGGTTTCGAATCTTATTTCTCAGTCATGAGTGGTTTTCAACTTAATTTTAAGACTCACATTATTTACTAAATTCATGGTTTCAAAATTTTATTTTCACCAAAAAGTTGTATTTTAAAAACACAATTTCAAAAAACTTTATAGTAACCTTCTTATAGTGTATTTTGAAAATAAAATTTTGACACCAAAATTATATTTTAAAATCAGAACTTCGTGAAACAACATGAGTTTGAAAATAAGATTAAAACCACTAGAAATGAGATTTCAAACCAGTAGGGTTTGGAAAATAACTCTACAATACTGCTTCTAAAATCTAAACCACAACAAACAAATAACCAAATATACCATAGCTAGAGCTTGACTTTTCTCTTGCAATTCATTTCTTGAATACCCTGGCTTGTAAGATTGATAAACATAGTACAATTCATCTTCACAATAACATGTTTCTTGATGATCTTCAATATCTTCACTCTCCCACCAACCCTAGTAAAGCTTGTCATACTCAAAAGCCCAGAAGAGTTCAAATCACTTTGCAAATTGGGGTTTGAAGTAAGCGTATCCATGATGATATCAACAGTCACGTTCATTCTCATGGTCTTTCGGGCCTTGGCCTGGCCTGGTGGGCCCCGAGCCTCCCCAATCGCCGTCCCCCGGTAGTATAGCGCCGTCGTGGTGTTGCTGTACTTAAACGACGCAACGTTAGGGTTCTTGACCGAGACATCAGCTGTCAAGGACATGTTAGAACCCGGGCGTGGCGTCGTCGTGCCGGTGATGAGGTCGAGCTTATTGACCTTGACACTGTTCATTTTTATGATGGGGTCTTTGACTTTGAAAACTGTGAAAATCAAGATTATGAGTACTATGACAAGGATGACAAAGAGAGCAGCTATGCAACCACAACACTTGATGCACTTTGTTCGGTGTGATTTTTTAAGGTATAGGGCGGTTTCTTCGTCATCACTACGAGGGCGGATAGAGGCAGGGGCTAGCGGTCTAACCTGCTCCTTGTCCGCCATGGTGGCTGGAGGTTGGTGGTCTTGGAGGAAGGAGAGAGGTGGTGGGGGGTGGTGGTGGTGGTGGAGATGGAGGTGGAGGTGGAGGTGGAGGAGGGAGGAGGTGTGGGGATAATTTTGTTTGTGTAGCTTATTTATATTACAATGCTAGTGACGCTACTATTGTGGTCTAGTTTTCACATGTTGATTTCAATTTTTTTTTTTTAAGGTCTAAACCATTGGTATTCAGATGTCCATTTAGAACCCGACTAATTCAGTTCGAGCTGGTTAGGATTACAAGAGTGGCAAAGCTTTCCCAACCAAATCTTAACACAAGTGCGTTTCCAAGCTTCAAATTGATCAATTAATATGTGTTTTTGAACTTTTGACTTATCGGTATGGCTCATTTTTCAATTTTTTAATTATGAATTCACATTATATATATATATTGACAATAATGATTTAGACCACTAAAAAATACATCACTAATAACACTAATGCATTGGGAATGACAAAAAAAAAAAAAAAAAGGCATTAGCGGGGCCCACTGCCACATCATTAATGCTCCCCTGGTGCTCCCTTTTTAGTGCTCCCAAACATTTTTCCTTATTTATTTATAGGTCTTGAGTGACTTTTTTTTTTTTTTTTTTATAATTTATAATGTTTTACATATTTGCCTCTCATTTTGGTAATGAAATTTTATTAAGCCTTTTAAAATATGTTTTGTGTTTATTAAATGATCATTTGATGTAATGAGAAATTTATCAGAATGACAAAAGTCAAACAATACATTCAAAAGTCGAACACCAACAACAATTGACACACTGATCTTCCAATTAAAAATGTACAAGAATCACCAACTAAATTAGCCAAAACCCAATTAAAGTTTCATTTTCTGTTAAATTTTGGCCACAACATTTGAATTGTCCTAATTTTAAACATCCTTGATTAGGCAGAAGATGGACTATCAGAACTTTGGCCCAGCTGAGCCCAATCCCTCAACTCACTAAAGTATAACAAAACATAATTTAATAAAATTTTTTATTTTTATGTTTTATTTTTTGTACTAGGCTTAAAAAGATACAGAGGGCCTCCACTTAGAGATGATAATACTCCTCATGAAGGGAGAAAAATAAACTTCTACATGGAGAGAAGAAAGCTTCCATGAAAGGAAAAAACTTTTATGTAGAAAGGCATTATCGCAACACAAAAATGAAGAACACAAAAAATACACACTAAAAACAAAACAAACAAACACTAACAAATGACACCTTAACGATCCGCCAATTGTCGCAACTGATAGTTGTGGTACCATAATCCTCCCTCTAAATTACAAAACAAATCATTGTGGATCTAGGGTAGGTATCTATCCCATAAAAACGCGTTTAACAATATTGGATCTCAATAATGAGTCGGATCCCAGTCTAGATATGAAAGCTATGGAGATGAGAGAAGGTGCAGCGGCTAGCATAATGATGAATGAAAAAGAAAAGGCTAGAGAAATGGAGCGGAGAGAAAGGCTAGAAGCGCCGTCCTCTCCCCCCTATATATGATTTCAAAGGAAAAGTAGAGAAAGAGAGAGGGGTTAAGATTTCTTATTGAGAGAATTCATCTTAAGAAATCATAATTTAATAATGGGATTTTTTTTTGTTTCAGATCTCTAGTAATTTTTTTTTTTATTTATAGAACAATAAGGATAATACAAGTTTTTATATTAGTATAGGTTCTTCAAAACACATGGTGACAAATATACCTCCAGTACACCGCTTTAGGTAACATTAGTATAGGTTTTATAACTTTTGATATAAATCTCTATTTTTTATAAAAAATTATATTTTTGGAATCGTTTCATTAAGATCTGTAAAACAAAATCCATAATGAATACAAAATTCTAAAAGGAAAAAAGGTTGATGAAATTTCACTGACTTAAGACAGGTCAATGAGGTTTTGGTTGGTTAGTAAAATTTCGAAAACCAAGTCAGTCATCAGTGAAATTTCAATTGGTAAGTGAAATTTCGACGGCTAAGTTAGTGAAATTTCACTGATTGATCTTTCATGAATTTTCTTCTTAAAAATTTCATATTAGTCAAGGATCTTATTTGAAAGATCTTGTCAATATGAAGTATAAATTTTACAAAAAAATAGAAATGTAAATAAAAAATTATTATATTTTATACTTTTGAAATCACTTAAACAACGTAAAAAGTCACAAGAGAGAGAAACAACATTATGTGAGAATCAATGAGAAAAATTAGAATTTTTAAGATTATAAGGGAATTTTGGACGACATATGTTAAAGTTTATCCTTATTAGATTTCAAATATCAAAAACTTTAACTAATAAGCAAATTATTGGTATTGTTAAACTCTTACACAAACTTATAGAAAGATGTCTCTCTAATTTTTCCTTTAATAAAATAAAATGCAATAGAAAGAACTAGAAAAAAATAATAATGAAATCCATTAAATTGGTTACACCTAATTAAATGAAAGTTGTTAATTTAAGTATGATGTGGAATCATTTGAGTTATTCAATCCAGTCAAGCCTCCTAAACACTGGCAAACAATATATATATATATATATATAACACAATAAAATAAAATAAAAATGTTAAAAAATTAAAATTAAGCTAAGATTTGGTCAACTCTACCTATTGGACTCACTAAGCATAAAGACGACTCCTTTTTTCAAAATTTTCTCAGTTTAATATTCAAGATTAAAATGTAATTATATTTTTTAAATTATTTCTATTGTTGCTTCCATATCAATGTGTTTAGGTCATCTATAATCTAATCAAATCATATAAAATATTATCAAGTTGCGAAATCGAGTTTTGATTAGTAATCATTTTAGAATTAGATCTACTAGTCAAAATCATTCCTAAGAATCTATAGACCAGGGTCCCAAAATACAGTGATTAGTGCCCTAAAATTATAATAAAAAGGTTAGCTAATCAGCATTGCGTCATTTGGATATAATACAATCAGTTTAAGCATAAAATAAAATTTTAATGCATACACCGATGATCTCGAACTTTCGGGATTAGTCTCCACTAATCATCTCTTAATTGAAAAAGTATAGTGAGCGAATGAGTTATCTTTACATTAATCTAATCATGATATGCAAACGCAACTGTCCGTCCAATCCAAATGGTTTTGTTGCTTCTTAATTAGAAAAGAGTGATGCACTTACTTCCCTTCGGATTCGTGCCTTTGAAAACAGTTAGAGTGATGATAATACAGTGTTTCACGTAGTGCTAACTCAAAGCTCTTGTAATTTAAAAATAAACACTATATATGTTTAAAATAGTATTATGTTTCAATGTGTCTTGACAAGGCAAAACCACATCTCTCTCTCTCTCTCTCTCAAGAAAATACCCACATAGAACCTTTCTAGGTTGTTTAGAGTGAGTCAATGGAATCTTGTTAAATTAAGTACTAGCTGTAAAAAAATAATAGGGGAAATTAGAAAGAAAAACCTAATTCTTGTAACAAATTAAACCCTAACTTTCTAATTATTACAATTTAAACTTTGAATTTTTAATATGATATCAATTCTAACCATCCATTAGTTATAACTAATGGAATATAGACAGTTTGATTAATTTAACCACTTTTTGTTGGTGGGGTTGGCTTGGGAAAAAAATGAGAGGGGTGGGAGTGAGCTGGGAAATGGGAGGAGTAGTAGTGGATGAAAAACATAGATGGAGGGGTAGGAGTGGATTGGCAAAGAGGAGTATGAAGGGGAAAAAGTGATTAATTGCCCCTTTTGCAACCATTAAAAAGTTAGGGTTTGATTTGTTATTGAGGTCAAACCTTGATTTTGTTTTTAATTGTAATTTTTCAAAATAACAATAATAAGGAAGTTTGAAGGAACTTGTTAATCAAAGATCCTTTAAAATGTTATGAATTTGTTCATGAAGATGTTGAACAATCCGAAACTATTGGTTTACAATTCATATTTGCAATTTTGAGCACTAAAAATGGTTCTAAAATTGAATTAAAAACAATAAAAGTACTTTCAAAATAGAAGCAAAATTATCATTATTCTTCTTACACCACAAATAAATCCTTTTATAGTTTGTGATCATACTGTTGTATGATGTTCCAACAATATTCATTTGTCTCCGTTTCATGCTTTGTAGATTAGAACATTGTAGAGATCTTTAATAAACATTTGTGCCCGTTTCATGTTTCGTAGATTAGAACATTGTAGAGATCTTTAATAAAGTTCTTATTTGTTAAATATTGCAACAAAGATGAGAAGGAAGTGACAAAAGCATGCGATGAAGTAAGAATCAGTCTAGTTCTGAAGCGTTGATTTGGAAATAGTTAAATAGATATGATCATGTTGCTGTTAATTAGAAGTTGAAGATACATCCCGATTGGCGTTATGCAGATCTTGCAAAAAAATTAGTTTAGATTTTTAAAGGGGCACTGGATCTGCATTGTAATTTAGATTCTTTAAAGAATTACTAGTTCGCAATCATTTATTAGTTAATGAATGGTGTTAATTTTAAATTCTTAAAAGGATAAACAAAGCTTTGAACATCGTTAAAGAATATATAATTGTTTGTTTGTTTCGAATATGAAGTTCCTAGACTCCCATTGGGCTTGTTAAACCAATAGTAAGAGTTTCCAAATTGTCAGCAGTATTCATTTTGAGCATATCGTTGTCATTCAGTTATATATTGCATGACCAAACGACAAGAAAGTCGCCTCAGTCTTTTTCTTGTATTTGTTGATTAAATCCTTTACGATTTGTTTGGTTTTAGAATTTGTTAAGGGAATGGGAAAAAAGGAAAAGGAAAATAAAGGAGAAACAAAAAAGGGATTCATTTCTTTACTTTTTGTAAGAAATGAGAACAAAATGAAATAGACATTTCTCAAAAAATTCAAAATTTCTTTTTGTTTGATTATCCATGAATAGGGATGTAAATTAGTCCCGGCCTACCTGGGCCAGGGCTTGGGTGACCTATGTCGGATCGTTCGGGCTCTCGCCAAAATTCGAGGTGGGTCCGCCCGGCCGTGGGTAGGCCTGGGTCACGGGTTAGAAAATTAAGTCCAGACCCAAGAGGTATTCGGGCCTTGGGCGGGCCAGGCCTCTGGCTTGGATGGACCTAAACATTTTTTAAAAAAATTTTCATCAAAATTTTAT